TTGCAAAGATTTAGAGGAGGTCAAGGTCCCAAGTGAATTCGTCTAAGGGGATGGACAGCCACGGACCCTACCCCGCCACTGCCTCGTTCTCCATCCACTCTCTTAGGAGGACAACGTCTTCTGTCTCTTCTCTTTACATACCTGGTTCTCTCTCTCGCTTGCTCTTGCCCTTTCTCTCAAGCTTGCCTTCTCCTTGTGCCGTTAAAGGGGCACATATGAGACTGTGGCCACTTAATTTGGAAGTTCGGATTTGCAGACGAGAAAGACCCAAAGTCAAAGGTGAATAGTTAAGCGCTTTATTAAACGAGAGCAAAAAGAAAGGCAAGAATCAAGAGCGTACATCAGGAGACGGGAAATCACCAACACCTGAACACAGACACTGGGGAATCCCCAGAGGCAGCAGTGGTCGGGATTTGTCTGGGAACAGTTCCAGGGGAAGTGTCCTTCCCTCGGGTGGGACTCCAAAGTCTCACTTTGGGGGCTATGATTAAATATATTTTAGACAAAAGTGGCTACGTGCCAAGGGCCTAGTGTGATTTCGACTAACCGGTCCCTGTGGGAGAAGGGCCAGTTCTCCCCAGGAAACAGCTAGAGATCAAAAGGCACTAATCTCCCGGGAAGAAGGGCCAGTTCTCCCAGGGAGACGGCACGATATTTTGCTTTTCCACTGAAGGTCACAGCTCAGGCATAAACAGGGAGAATTCTCAAAGCCCCTTTAACCCTTTACTCCTACGGACTTGGACAGTCGTGTTCATACAGGTGCTTCAGCACAGCTTCCGTAATTAACTTACCTTGTGACCCAATATTTAAATCCCCCAAAGGGGAAATTTTATTGGTTTAGCTTAGGTCATGTGTCTACATTTAGTTCATCAGCTGTGGCCAAATAGAGACTACATAGATTGACTTTATACCTAGATCGCCCCCCTCTGCTCACGTGGGTGCAGCTCGCACTCCAAGAAGAGGGTGTTGACCAGGAAGAAATGGCGAACATCTAAACGATATGTAGCATTCGCTAACAAAGATATCCCATGAAGATTTTGTTTCCCTCCTGACAGAGACGGAAAAAATGAGAACTGCTATATATATGGGAAATACATCTGGATTTCAGAGGTAGAATTAAGCTCTTCTCATCTACATTGGAATTAAAAAATAAATTCTTCAACCAAATGTCTTCTGAGTTGCTTATTTCCCCCTGAGTTAGCCTCCTTATGGGTAAGAATATGTAAACATCCTGATGTTCGTCTTCAGAGTCGCTACCATTCACCCCATCTGCTGACACTGCTTTCATGTTCATCTAGAGAGGACGGCATTTCTGGAGCTTCACAATGGAAACGATAAATAATGAAGTAACTACTGTCCTTTTTATTTTGTATTAGTTTTGTATTTTTAAGTTGATGGTAAAGAAGAAGAGTCACAAACACAACCCCATCCTAAAATCAGCGTAGTAGTCACGGATGGAAGGACGGGCCCTGGGTCCGCGTTGCAGGAAAGTGGGCGTGGCTTTGAGCTGCACGCGTGTCCTGTCGTCCCTGTCTGCATCACACACGAGGGACAACCCTGAAATCAGCCTGGAAAGCAAACGTTAGTGTTCCTGCAAGAAATACGGCTGTAGGTGAGACCGTTGTTAATTCCACTAAATGGGACACGGGACACATCCCATGCTATGCTACACCAGTTTGATGCTGGCGAGTGTTCCTAGAGGAAGGTTCCACAGAATACGCGGGCGACTTGATTCTCCAATGTTGTAACATGAATCTCCAATCATTGTCACGTTATGCATTTTTTAAAAATAATTTTTAATTCATAAATAAGTTTTTAGCGACCATTTTCATTTTCCCTATGAAATTTCAATGGGGTAGGCTCTTCATTGAAATCATGTGTGTATGAAACAAAGCACGATGTTACCTGGTTAATACTGTAAGAGTAACTTAGAAAAGGAAAATAATCTCTCTGAAACCGGGAGCATTTTTCATTAATTTTCAACAGAGCATCTCTGTTAAAGCTCAAAGGAGTCGTCACAGTGATTGGGAGTTCCTGATTTTTAATGTTTTACTTCCCAAGAAGGGTGTAAACTTGGGGATTACCCACACACACTTTATCTTTGTTTAAAGTATATTTTATTGAGTATGCTATTACAGTTGTCTCATTTCTTCCCTCCCCTTTATTCCCCTCCACCCTGCACCCCCCTCCCACCAGCATTCCCCCCCCAGTTCATGTCCATGTGCCGTACATATAAGTTCTTTTACTTCTCCATTTCCCATACTATTCTTAACCTCCCCCTGTCCATTTTGTACCTATCATTTATGCTACTTATTCCCTGTATCTTTTCCCCCATTCTCTCCGCTCCTCCTCCCCACTGATAACCTTCCATGTGATCCCCATTTCTGTGATTCTGTTCCTGTTTTAGTTGTTTGCTCAGTTTTTGTCTTAAGGTTCAATGTGATAGTTGTAAGTTTGTTGTCATCCAAGTGTTTATATTTTTTATCTTTTTCTTACATAAGTCCCTTTAACATTTCATGTAATAAGGGCTTGGTGATGATGAACCCCTTTAACTTGACCTTATCTGGGAAGCACTTTATCTTGATTAGCAACTGACGGAGACCTGACTACCCACCACCATAGCAACACATCTGTAGCTTTCTAAAAGATTTAATTAGGACTTTCCTAGACATCATGAACTTATTTTGTAAAGCAATCATAGAGACAAGTACATACTTTCATTTTTCCCTTTTGGCATCTGAAAACATTAGTTTGAATTGTTAATAGTCCTATTAACCGTTGCTAATCAAATAGATGATCAGACTGAACCAGGAGCATCTGCAGGGACCAGACCCCCTACCACCGCCAGTCCCGTGCAGCCGCCAGCCGGGGGTCCCGGTGTGTCCCCGTTGCTGTGATGTGTGCCTCCTCCATCCCCGCCCCCCCGGCATCCTGGGGCCTCTGCGCCCTGGGTTCCAGGCTGCAGACAAAGAGGCTGGCACAAGATTATTTTCTGTGAAAAAATGAAGTCTAAGAAAATGAAAACTGGTTAATCAGACTTAAATAAATACATTTTTCAACAGCATTGAAAAATGTATTTATTTTGAACTAAGCTCTTTTTAAAAGATATTTTGTAACTGTATAAGTCAATAATATTTACTGTTTATATAAAAATATATGGGACTCTCTTTGCCAATTAGAATTCTAGCATAACACTAGGAAGTAAACTGAAATTCAGTTTGTGCAGATACTACTACAACTGCAATAAGAAGTGCATTTAAAAAAAGGTGCATGAAAGGCTTTTTGTAGTTACGTTGTATAGTCAGAAACATTAGATTTTAGATTTAACCATCTCTTTATAAACCATCTGAAAAGACACAGTAGAATGAGGATAACTTCTGTAACTAACCAGCAAAGATATTTTAAAATAAACTATTTTAAGTAAAATATTGAATAATATGCTTGTAATAACCTGACGGACATGTTGAATATGACTAAATGCATATCTATCCAGGTACAAATTAAGATAAAAGCATATGTCTTTAGAGATAGCCAGAGAATAAATAAAAATAAACAAATAGATCATTCTTAAATGGGAAGTGATATTATACAATCCATCGGCAGGAAAATACCTTTCCAGATGTACCATGAGATAATTTCAGTTGATTATTTTACCGCATCCAGTAGGTAGTTAGAGGCTAAGATGGGAGAATAAAACATATGGCGGGGGTTATTGTAACATAGATATCTCGGCATGGAACACACAGAGACGTTTAGCAATGGGGGTTACCTGGGGCCTGTACCTGTTCTCTGAGTGTTACTATCTAGGATGGCTGGAGGCTGAGGGCCATGCCCCTTCCCTTCTAGAATAAAGAACCCCCGCTCCACCCATGAGAAAATCTGCCCGGTGCTCGCTGGCTGGCCCTCAGTCCTCGCCCGACGCCGTAGGCTCTTTGCGTCCTCCTGCCCCAGGAGTGCAGACGGGTACTTCACATTTTCTCAAGGGCCCAGGTTAAGTGTACAGTGTAAATCACTCCTCCTTGCCGGTATCCCAGAGTGTGTCCTCATGCGGACAGTGTCTTCCCCTGGTCAGGAAGATTCTGACAGTAAAGTGGCCCCTGTGCACATCCTCTTCATCAGTGATGAGTGTGTAGGACAGAATGTGTAAGCTTGGCTCATTAAATGGGTGCATGTGCGTCTCTAATTTTAAAGAAATCGACCTTTAGCAGAAATTTATGTCTAAATGGCTGTGTGTTCAATGGACCATAGAATTGTACACTTGAAACCTATGTCATCAAAATGTCACCCCAATAAATTTAAGTTGAAAAATTTTTTAAAGAGAAAAGAGGACAGAAGTTATAAGTATGTAGCCCTGAGGCTTGACAATTGATCATGATACATTGTATGTAGAACAGTTGGTTACATTCAGCTCTTAAAATGCTTTTTTAAAAGAATTTTACAATAGTCTGAGTGACCTAGTTAACCCTTCTAGGCTGTATGTTAAGACTTGAATCATTATTGCTTAAATTAAGAACTACCCAGTAAAAAAAGGTGAGGATGAGACCACATCAAAATTAAATAATGAAGAGGAAAAATGAAGCAAAAGCAAGTAAAAGGTGAAAATATGTAGAAGGTATAAGGTGGTCATTTTCATGTTGAGGAGAGCTGTAACACCAAACAAGACTGGTCATTTTGTCGATTGCAAAATCCTATGAAAATTATCCCAGGAGACACAGAAGGAGCGCGGTACACCCGTCTCCCATCTGGACGTGAGTCAGATCCGACCCTTGTCGCTCAGCAGAGCCCCCTTGTCCTACCTGGAGGAAAATGCTCCTTATTCTTTTTTCCCTTCATGTTCCTCTTTCCGAGAACCAGTAACTCCTCGAGGTTCCTCTGTGCACCAAACCTAATGTAAACATTCGCCTTCCCTGAATTGTGATCATGGCAAACCATGAGTATCGGGGCTGGTAGGTGACTGATTGCTAGCTCAGGGCCTTGACGGGATGTCCTTGAACTCCTAGGAGCCGAGGTGACCTACATGAACATGACCGCCTACAACAAGGGCCGGCTGCAGTCCTCCTTCTGGATTGTGGACAAACAGCACGTTTACATCGGCAGTGCTGGCTTGGACTGGCGCTCCCTGGGACAGGTAATCTTTCCGTGTTCTATAAACTCAAGAGTTCTGTGGGCGTGGAACCTGCCACAGCCATACGGCACTCAGTCACCTCCGCTGTGGCTGAGGGAAAGAGACACTTGGCATGGTCATTTAACATCCCATGAGCTCCCCTGCATCTGTGAGTCAGCTCCTGGAGACTCCTCTCCCATCAACACCCACCCCTTCTCCTCCTCCACGCTGAGCACAAATGCCGTCTCCTACCTTGTCCACCCCTTTCCCGCAGTGCTCCATAGTTGGGATCGTGTTATTACACTTAGTCATTTCCCTTAAATCAGCCTCCCTTTCAACAGCGCTCGACTCCGTGGGATTTTTCTTGGTCGACCTCAGTATGACAGAAGAGTGCACGGCAGGAACCTTGCGTTAGAACAGATTTTAATTTGAGCAAAGTTGTGTGTGAAGCTAACAATTACATGAAGCATTCTAATGCATTCCCCAAGTGTCAAATTCAACCTAAGCCATCAGCCGTATGTATTTGGTGACGTTTTCTAGGGGAATCAGGTTATTGCCTTCAGTCTATGGTAAATAGGAGAAATAGTAAAAAATATCACCAACGGCTTCAGGGTATTAAGGGATTGCTGTATATGAGGCATTCTTCTAAGCAATTAAAGAGTATGAACTCATTTCATTTTTATAATAAGCTTTTGTTGTAAATACTACTCTCATCCCTTTATTTTACAAAAGACAGAGGCTAAGACACAAATAAGCAACTTACCCAAGGTCACCTTCCAGGAAAGGCAAAGCTAGAATTCATACTCAGGAAATCCAGCTCCAAACCCCTCGCTCTTATTTCACTGCTAATAATTTTTTAAGATTAGTTACATTAAAAAAAAATCATTTTCTTCCATGATGTTGCTGCATGCTAAGCTATAGATTTCCTCTCACACACTTTTCTTTAAGTAGAGCTAATGCTATTTATCAAAAAGACCCTTCGCTCATTTACGTCTTTCAGATGCCAAACCCAGGATGACGTGATAGCCAGAATAGGATAGGATGCCTCCGGGTTGAATTTCAAAGACTAGGAAGTCAGTACGTTTGTGTTTGAGCTTCTCCCTCCCCGACCTCCAGGGGTTCAGGGTCATCCCCTAGACTCCGTGGTGTGACCGCAGGGAGTCCTGAGGGAGGAAAAACAGCCTCCACAGGCTTTTCCAAACAGGGGCCTGGATTTGTGAATCTCAGGAGCCCCTAAAAACACCATCAAAGAAACCAGCAACAGCACTGATAAAGCAAACGAAAGACTGGCTAGTGTGTGAAGCAGGAAGAAAAGGGCACAGCAGTCCTAAGACCACAGGACTCTGGAGACGCAGTTCTCAAATAGGAGAAGCTAAGGAAGAAAACGTGAAAACCTATGTTTTGAGACAAAATTGCTTTTGTAATTTTTTTTAGCATCCCCTCTTAAATGAACTGCTAGCCTGGAGTTGAAGGTGGGATTACATAGTTTCACTGATCCCAGGAATGGCAATTCTGGAATAGGGGAGATTTTTCAATAAGTAATATTTTAACAAATAATGGCACTAGCAGGAACATGCTATTTAAACTCTGTTCACGTGTATTTTCATCTTAGTCCCTTTTAGTCCAAAAAGACCGGAATGGCTGTTGGGGCGCACAAGCTCCAGGGAAGCAGGAGGAGTTCTTCCAGCCACTGCCCGTCCCTGAGCTGCTGATGGGACCTCGCAGCCCCCGGGATGGGGCGTCACAGCGGCTTAGCCAGCTGCCCAGACCTTGTCCTGTAGCCTGGACGGGGAGAGAAAACGGACCAGCTCTGATGTGACTTGGTATCTAGTCTCACCGACTAGATCATCTTTTCATGTTGGAATTTACCTCAGAGGACAATCAGCGTAGTGTTTTCCAAGGCGTGCTCTGTGAAACGCTATTTCAGTGACGTGGCGGGTCACTCCCTGAGAGAACGGCTCTCTGCACCCTAAGACTGAGAAACTCCGGGTTTAATTTAAATATGCTTCTTCACTGTCAGATTCCTGTGAGCTGTTCACAATGCTAATAACCTTTGTGACTCTCTAAGGGGGTTCAGAGTCTCCAACATTCATTAAACCTGTTTGGCTGTGAGTTAGTTTTCCTAGCTAGCTTTCCGGACCAAATATTCCTTGAAGCCTACCTATGTCCACCAATGGTGGTCTAAGCCCACCCACCCCCCTTTTACAGATGAGAACACTGAGGCATGGGTTTGGAGAGGTGGGGTGGGTGGATACCAGGTCAGTGACATAGCTTCGTGGCAAACTTTAGGACTCTCAGGCAAACAGTCATTTCACTACAATGTGCTACCTTAAGAAAAATATGTGATTCCAAAGCTGTGAACCATAGGTAGGGTCTGTCTCCTTAGCAACAAAAGAACTGGACCACTGGCACGCCACCACTTACGTGTTAAAGAAAACCAACAGATAGTCATTGCATGTGTACTGTACTCAGGCAACTGCATGTTTGAAAAAAAAAAACATAAACCCACAAAACATTTCAAATTCCCTTTGAAAAACAACGTATTTAAGCACTCTTGAAACACAGCCACCCAGGAGATCTGCCAAGCAGGGCCAGCAACATAATCTGTGGGACCAGTGCAAAATGAAAATTTGAGGACACCTGTAAAAAATTTATCAAGAATTTCAAGATGTCAAGAGCAGAGCCTTAAGCCAAGAATGGGGTCCTTCTAAGTCAGGGTCCACCTGAGTTTGGGGCCCTGTGTGTCTCGGGTCCCATGTGTGTGAACCGTGCAGAGGGGAGTCGTCAGTCAGTGTTTTGGAGGTGTGGGAAGAAGAGCATCCCTGCAGACTAAACAGTGAAGGGCCCCAGTGAGGAGATGGATTTTGAGCTGAGACTTAAGAAAGGGATTCCAAGAGTGAGTGAAGATGCAAGGTTGGACGTGCATGTGGTGTGTTAGAAGAGGCATGAGCACTTTCCTGCAGGTGTCCCAGGAGTGTCCCAGGTGTTCCAGGTCGGGAATCTTGGAATGTAAGGCTGGGAAGGACAAGGGCAGGCTTGGGAAGGACTGAGCATTGAATGCGGATTCAGACCTGCAGGCTGCCACGGAACCACTGACCCCCTGTGGTCAGAGCTGGGACCTGACGACACTGGAACAGATCTGGAGCGCACGGGCAGAGGAATGAGGGCAGCGTGGAGACAGACAGCTGGTAGCTGTAATTAAAGAGGGCAGTGACAGGGCTCCATCTGAATTAGGATGCTATGAAAATGAATTTTCTGTGTCCACTTGGCAAGGCTATGATGCCCAACTGTGTAGTCAAACACCAGTCTAGAAGTTGCTGGGAAGGCATTTTTTAGATGTGATTGACATTTAAACTAGTAGACTTGAGGAAAGCAGATTGTCCTGCATCTTGTGGTGGGCCTCGTGGAATCAGTTGAAGGTCTTAAGCACAAAGATCGAGGTTTCTAAAATAAGGAATTTGGTCTCAAGACCATGGTGTAAAAATCCCACCCGAGTTTGCAGCCTGCCAGGTTGCCCATTGAATTTCAGACTAGCTCACAATCACGTGAGCTAGTTCCTTAAAATAAATCCCTCTCATTGCTTCTCGACCTTTGGCTAAGATCTAGTGTAGTATCTGTCCTTATCACTTTAATATCTGATATGTCCTCTATCCAAAGACTTTACACTAAATGGAGTTTTGGAGCTGGGAGATGGAATAGGAGCTTGCTCCTCGCATCAGCCCAGTGCTGCAGTGCTTCTGGGAACAGTGTACCAAAAGAAGAAGAAAAAGAAAAAGAAAAAAATCAATCTCTCTCTCTCTCTCTCTCTCTCTCTCCATATATATACACAATTGATTCTGTTTCTCTGGAGAATCCTGATTAATGCAGACGGTGACAATGAGACTTGGAAGGAAATGACACAGGACAAACATGGCAAAGCTGCCTCATAGTGACTGACTGACTGTGAGGAACGAGCTACACGAAGCCGTGGCCATTATTACTTCCAGCCTCTGGAGAGGGGCGCACTGGGGGAAGGACCGTCTTGTCCACAGACTTGGGGAGTGTTGGGGGGAGGGGCAGTCCCGATCGATGTCCAGTGGGCAGCTGACGAAACAGCCTAGAGACTGGCTGGTGCTGTGCTTTTCATCTAATAGCTTGAGCACCAAAGAGGGGTGGTTCTTGACTGACTCTGAAGCTGTCGATTTCCCGGTAGCTGCTCTTTCTGACGATGACCGTCTGGGGGGTATTGAGCAGGGCTGCGCCCCTCCGGCCTCGCCCAGCCCGGATGTCTTTCAACTCTCCCGGGGGGTTGCAGCCAGAGCCTCACATTAGCGACGGGAAAAGGTGCTAAGACTTGAGGCGTCTTCGATTCCCTCTTCTTGCCTCTTTTAAAAATTTCAATGAAAAGAACACAGAACTGAGGAACAGTTTTGAAGACCCCGTGGGCGTGCCGGTGGGCAGGAGGAGGTCACTGTTTGTACCGCACATCTGCTGGCTCTACGTTGACGTTTTTATCAGAATTTTTGGGCTTCTAGAGACAGGTCTTAGCTCTTCGGGACTTGGTGCGCAGCTAATGCAGATCACTGGGTACCGGAACCAACGTGAGGATGAGCCACGGTGAAAGGCAATTCGACTGCAAATACGACAGAGAATGATTAATATTTCTTAGGCAACGTGTAATGCAGGAAAACAGAGGGTGAATTCTCCCAGTATTGATTTAAAAGATTAACGAGGCTGCACAGAAAAGGTTATTTTTGTTGGCATATGCATTTCACTTTATTTTTTTCTTGGTTGAATGAAGTTCTTTTAAATGGAATTTATTGGGATGGCATCGGGTCATAAAGTCACATAGGTTTCAGGGGTAGAGGAAGTAGGAGAGGGTAGAGGGATGGATGGTGACGGAAGGCACACATGTCTTAAAGAAGATGAGGAGATGGTAGGCGCTGTTTCTTACAAAAGAAACATATGAGCAAACTGCATCTTCAATAACAAAGTTCTGCTTCTTTTCTGCAATTTCTAAAGTAACAGCTTGGTAGATAATCTTG